GTATGAACCTCCTTCTTGTGGCAGAGTCGAAAGGTCATCCCCATAGGCTTCCAGTCCTTTCCAATCGGATACTTTAAGAGTTTACTTCTATGGTTTAATTAGGCAGGCAATTAAAACCCCGCCATTGCAACTTCCACTCACCTTCGAGCCATGCCGATAGCAGAAGAAAAACTAGAGGTGCTACACGCACACTGAGGATAAAATAAGCCGTTTATCCCTATTGAAGTGCTCCAATACCATCGTGGGGTGAATTCTGATCGCAACCTGTTGTTATAAAAATAAAACACGCACACGAAATTTTCAGAAATCAGCACTGGAATTAAAGATAAAGTAAAAAATGCCCTTCACAAAGTAAAAATTAACAGTTTGATTTTATTTAATAGTGTTCACCATCTTATGACTATTATTCAAAAAGCAGTCACAAGTTTCATGATAAAACATTCCTTGCTAATGTTTATATATGTGTCCAAGAACTAAAATACCTGTTATTTATATTTAACAGAACGCAAAATTTAACAATTGAAAAGTATTTTAACCACATCTAAATACCAGGGTCTGAAAATAATATTTTACATGAGGATCCTATTTACTCAGGAGGTGTTTTATTGAACAGTTGAGTTGCATTCAGGTTCAGTAGGCGCGGTTAGACATGTCGGCTTTTGCCAAGTAATGTCTGCTCTTCTTTCCATGACGCGTTTTTAATACTCTCTGGGTATCCTTGCTCAATTCCAATATTGATTGTTTTCAAATGCGCTATCCTCATGTCCTGCGGCTCTATGGCCTTTATTGTACTTGTTACATGCGATGTTGGCTCCTGTTCGTGTACCTCATTATGGTTTCGGTTCGTACTAAACTGCCTCTGATTCATTTTAGCGTTCTTTTGCGTGCTCACGCAGCACCCTTTCGTGGTCTGGCTGCGCGAAACCTTTCCATGGTTTCGCAGCCCTTCCTTCTTCGTACTGCCCCAGTTTTGAGCGCGACTAAGCATTACAAGGGCAGCACAAGTGAGGAAGTGCGTCTTAAGGCTGAGAGTGAGATGCAGGATTACTGGGAAAGGAACATTAAGCTTAAGCGCCCGTGGTCGCCTCACATATTGATCTACTCTCCACCTCTTTGCATGCGAAACTCCTTCCTCCACCGTGCTACTGGCGTCGCCATGGCTATTGGTGCGTCGTGCATCCTGTTTATTCTAATGCCTATTTTCAAACATGGCAATAAATTCACTATATTTTTTTAGTCTGGATGGGCGCTGGCGCTGCTGGCTTCTGGTATACCGGCCACTTTGATGGCATGCTGGACTATGTCAGCAGCTTCAGCTTCGGACCTTCTATTGTGTTTGGTGCCAAGTGCCTTCTCGCTTACCCACTGGTCTACCACTACTGTAACGGCATGAGGCATCTGGTATGTCTCATCTTGTTTGATTTTCTGTTGCCTGGTTTGAGACAATTAATCAATAATCATGTTATCTAGGCCTGGGATTACGCTATCGGCTTCGATATGAAGACAGTCAACATGACTGGTGCCACTGTCCTCATTCTATCTGTCCTTCTTACTCTCGCGTTGGCCTCCATCAGGAGCTAGATGTTGCTAGCCTGGCGTGTTCGGACCTGTGGAAGTTCAGGAGCATTTAACCGCTCCGACCCGATGCTTGTTTATCAACACCAAATCTTCCGGTAGTTCCATCCCAGTGACCTTTTCGTCATTTGTTGTCGTAGATCTTTGGAAAATATGAATAGTTTGAAAAGTCATTCGTCTTGTGTACTTTCCCATTAGTTGGTCGATTTAAGACGTAGTGCCTTTCCCCAGTTAGGTTTTTAATGTAAACCATAAACCGTTGGATTGCTTCAACTGTGATTCGGTTGATTTACGCTCCATTCGGCTGAGGGTGTAACCAGGTTGGGCGCTTCTGTCTTCTTTTGGCTAGACGCCACTCTGGGCGTAGTGTTTTCCGATACTCAGGATTTTGCAGTGTTAGCGTGCGACTGGTAGTTGAACCGTGTACTCGAATCAGTTGGGTCCGCGTCTGCGTAAGCGTCGAGCGCTCTTCCTACTGATTGTGTTGGGTGTGCGCTCGGATAATGTCTAGTCTAATGCTTTATTGGCCTAGTTTTGCTTGTGTCGGTTAGACTAGTTGGGGGCGGCACGTGAGTAGCCGGTTGTTTAGGTCAACCGGGTAGACGTCAGCTGTCGGGTTGCTGGGCTGTCAGAATCCCACCCCCGAAGTACAAAATATTTACAATTACCTGTCGTAAACCCCAGTCATGGCGGACGGTTTTTGGTTAGTTGTTTCCTCGGGTACCATTAACTTGGAAAATTTAATATTTGTTGCCAAGGCCTAGGCGCACATCAAATCCTTGGCAATTATGATCTCCGTACTCAGCTTGGAATGGCTTGGGCTTTTGGAAACAAATGCGCTTATGACCTTCATTTTGCGCGTCAGAAACCACATCTGCAGGACTGCTTATATTTTTGATAGTCACGAGAACGACCACGACGACCCTATTTCTATCTCTACTATCTTGCCAACAGCACGCATTAGGTCCTACCTGATTTGCCATAATTTTACTCAGGGCAATTGAACGTATGAAAATCTGTGTATCTATCAGTTGACGAGGATATCCGCCTTTGGACGGATGTGCGAGAGCCACATCTAACGCCTTGGTGACTGAATAAAGCAGTTCCTTGTATTGTAGGGCCCAGAGCATAATTTTAACTTACTACTGCAAGTTAGGCTTAAACCTCGTACCCATTCATAATGTTGCATGGATGGTGCACGTGCCTGTCGGTTAAGGTCGTCGAAATGACAATTACCTCGTCCACTCATTTCCCCCTCTCGGTATGGCTTTTGTGTTGTAATAATGACCCTCCACTGAATGACCCGAACCCTACATGGTAAATTGCCTAATGGGGACTGCTTACAGCCTTGTAGCCTGCTATTTGACCCGGGCATATACTCACGGTGCCGGTAGATAAGGCACCACAGATTAGGTGTCCCAAGATGTGGGCGTTGGAATGGAAAGTGAGCATTAGTTTGCGTGGATAAGCTTGGGGTGTGTTCATTTGGTTTTAAGACTTGAAAATAAGTAAAGCGGTGGTAACATCAACATGGGGCAGCAATATATGGCCTTCTGATCTATTTTCATTGACAGTCCTTTTACTGCGATTGATTACTCAAGTAATCCATTTGATAAGGCCAGTAATCTGTTTCTACTATTTTGCTGTTATGACTCCTGAAAGACACAGCTGTGAGCGCCAATACTTAGGAGGAATAAAGGCCTTAAACACGACTCCTTTTGATGCGAAAATTAAAATGTGCAGTAGAACTTGGCTCGCATTGGCTGTTTCTGTGCTGTAGGGACCTAGGAACGCTCCACCGCATACTGGATGAGGCATGTGGGTAAGGCTCGATCATCTTCTGGAGCTGCACTGTAACCATGCTAGCATTTTAGCAGAAATATCTTCCAAACTGCCGAGTTCTGCATTATCAGATGGTTACTTTTTCTATTGTGTTGTTGTTATGACACCAATTGCCCCCAAGGGTTTCATCAGTGACTGGGGCGTAGTTTTCGAAAGCACCGACTAGGTGTCAACGATGCTTTTAATCACAGCTGAGCTCTCGCCGATCTTCGTAATTGCAGGTGATGCCAAATGACGTTTCTTCACGTGTCAGCTAGATTTACCCATTCATGACCAACTTTTGTTTTCGTACTAAAAGGGAGCTCAAAGGTATTCATTAAAGTAGGCTCCAACTAATTTGAAGGATTTGGAAAAATATTAGTGAAAATTCAAAACTCTACGTGTGATCCGATCAGTTGAGCTTACTTAATCGCCGCTGCACGGATGCACAACAAACACGCACTACATCCTTGCGGATTCGAGACCTCATCATCATACCCAGCAAAATCGCGACCTCAGACTACCTAGCTTGTGTGCATTAACCGGTTATTTCGCACTGTCACTCGTACCCAAATAGCTCGACTGAAAAGTTTCAGTGCCAGCAGAAACAGATGGTTTCGGCGTCCAAAATCGGGGTTGGCGACCTGACGACAAATTTGCACGTCGTGCGATGAGTGAACGGAGGGGTCGTGTCACGTTTTGGCACCGGACCGAATAAGGAATGTACGAACGAAACGGCAGCCCCAATTTCTTTTATTGGCGCTGTGATTTAAAAAAAAACAAGTTATGCCCCTCGGTTGGGCTTGGTAGCCATTTAGATGCATGGATGAAACAAGCACCAATCTCTAATGCGCTTTTACAAAAACAATGCTACACGCGTCACCGGTACTCATTAATTTTACTAAAAGGAAGTCCTGAAATGAAATGAAAAAGCAACGAAAACAAAGGAAAGGGACTATAACTACTGATGCAGGTTTGGAGAAGAAGACCACGGTTGTACGTGAAGAAGGAGGTGAAAACCAAGCCAGAATAAGTGATTTCACCTTGTGGATTCGGATTATCTCTTTAAAATGTTAATACCTTTTTCGACCATAAAATACTGACCGCATTTTCTCAATTTTAAAGGACAACACGATCTTGGAATCCGATTTATAACCATGCCTGGTATTTGAAGAATTCGATCGGCTTCCATCACAACGGCCCATTGTGCAACCATAATCTGTTAACTCGTTTTTAAAACGTGCTAGCGCAAGGACAAAATTAGTCTGTAATACGATAGTGGTTTATCCC